AACACAAGCGAGCCACACCCATCCAGACGGACATACCGCAAAGCTCAGACAGAACTGGGGTGGGTAGGCAGCACTCCCCTGGGGTTGCTGGAAACGCTTGCTTTGTTGTTGGTCTGCACATGCCAACAGTCTGACTGTATTTCCGGTTGGTCCTTCCAGATCTACTTCCGCCCTCCCCAGTGCCCCAGGAAGGGAGCCCTAGCAGTGTCGTGGTTACACATTGGGCTGTGATCCACAAATACAGGGATTTCTTCTCCCATAAAGAGTTTGTCTCAGAAATCCACAGGGGCAGTTCTACCCTGTCTTATAGGGTCACTATGAGAGCAGTGAGTTTGGTTTGGGGATAGATACACACACACACACACACACACACACACACGAAAACCATAATCCCTATTGTTGGGAGACACTGGAATCTGGGTCGAATCTAGGCAAGAGGAGGCTTGTTGGGAATGAGGCAGGGGTGAGGGGGCAACCGCCCCTGTTTGTACCCTGAGAGGCGGTTACACCAATGGATTCTCTTGCCCTCTGACTGCCAGCTGAGTTCCCTCAAGAAGAGACTCTAGTGCTGGGCTGCTAACCACAGGTCAGCAGTTCAAAACCACAAGCTATTCCAATGGAGAAAGATGAGCTTTCTACTCTTCTAAAGAGTTACAGCCTCAGAACCCACAGGGTCAGACTACCCAAGTCTTAGAGGGTCGCTATGAGTCGGAATCAACTTGATGGCAGTGAGTTTTGAGTGAGTTTATTTACCTCCCTGAGATCTCCAATCATACCGGCTGCCCCTGGCTGGGCCAGAGCCCCCTCCTCAGGGCTGCTCCAGCCCCGTGCTGGCTTAGAACGGTCAGATTTGCTCCTGTGCAGGTTCTCAGAGCCCCCAGCCTGCTTCCCAAGGGCAGTTGGGGAGCAGGATCTGTAATTTCTAACACGCGCCCTTTCTGGGCCAATTCGCCCGCCCCTTCGGACCTGACACTAATGGGTGGCTCTGTGATCCAGTGCCTGGGGTTGCCCCCGCGCAGGATGCTGCCCCTCCCACCATCCCCATTTGACAGAGGTGTAAACCGAGGTTCTTGGAGGGGTCACGGCCTGGCCAGCGGCCCCGTCCTTAGCGCCAGACTCCACCGGGAAGGAGGGAAACGGAGAGGGAGGAAAGCGACAAGCTGGAGGGGAGGGAGGGGGGAGCGCGGCAGGAAGACGTGGGCGATCCAGGCGGCCTCCCGATGCGGCCCCGCCCCCACGAGGGACGTGAAGACGTGGACCCCGCGCAGCGTGGGGACATGTGACCGACTGCAGAGCCCGCGCCGCGGGCGTCCCCCCACTCCCCCCCAGGTCTGCACGCTCCGCCGCAGGGCGCGAACCCCGAGCGCCCGCCAGGGGCGGGGGCGCAGGAGCGGGGCGGAGACGAGGCGGAGCCCAGGCGCACCGAGCGAGCAGAAACGAAAGCGAAAGAGGGGGCCGGGAGGACGGGGCGGGCCCGAGCGAGGCGCCGCCCCCAGCCCTGCGCGGCCGCCAGACCGACGGGCGCGGCGAGGTAGCGGGCCGGCGGGGCGCGCAGCGGAGACCCTCTTGGAGCGCTGCGCCGCGGCCGCCGCCACCATGTCTCAGGAGGACGTGGAGGTAGGTGATGGCGAGCGCCCGCCGGGGGCCCTCCAGAGGCGCCGGGGGTGCGGGGCGGGGGGCCAGGGACGCCGAGGGAGCTTCGCAGCTCGGGTGGATCCCCCATCATACATCCAGACCCTCCCGCGGACCTGTGCGCGCCCCTCTCGGAAAGAGTGATCCCCGCTTGCTTCCCCCAGAACGAAATGAGGTCTCCCGGAGCAAAATCGCGGGGGGCGGGCAGGGGACTGGGGGGAGGGGGGAGAGAGACACTTCAGGATCCGGAGTCCAAGGCCAGGGGTTACCTGGCTAGCCTCCCTCTGGAGAGCCTAGGACTCTTGCCCCAGGCCCTTCCGCGTTCTAACCCCCAAGGTCCAGTGGGGACTTTGGCTTTTTCCAGGAAAGGCCCTAGAAAGATGGGATGGGGGGAGGCGGACGCCGGCGCCCGGCTCAACTTCTGGCCTGGTGACTAGTGCCCGGGGGTGGGGTGGGGGCGGGCGCAACTCTCCTGCCCCCACGGGGCCCCCTCCGTTCCCGTCGCAGCTGGAGAAGAGCGTTCGGCGCCTGCAGGAGAAGTTCCACGGAAAGGTGCCCTCGGGGAAGGCAGGGGTTCTGATGAGGAAGTTTGCCAGCGACCACACCGGCGTGGGGCGCTCCATCGTGTACCGTGAGCTGGCGGGAGCCCCAGAGGGAGTCTCGCCTTGGGGAGGGGGGCTCCATGGGCCGGGCACTTACGTGTCTCTCCTCGCCAGAGGTAAAGCAGAAAGACGGACAGGAACTGGGTAACAACCTGCCGGTCCAGGTAACCTGCCCCCTTCCCTCCAAGGCCTGGGGAAGGCGGGGTAGAAGCGATGGGCCCTCCCACCTTCTGGTCATACTCCCGGTTCAGACTCATTCGCTTCCCCAGGGTGGGTTCGTCCGTTGGGGAACTGTTAAGCTGTGCTCCATCCCGTGCTGGCTGCCTGAAATTGAGGAAGGCGACCCAGCAAATGAGAATGAGGAAGGAGCCAGGATTCATGTCAGTGTAGGGGAAACCTGGAAGTCAGGGAAGGCTGCTTGGAGGAGGTGGTGGGAAGTCTTCAATGATAAGGAGAAGGTAGAAGGAATGGGGAATGGAAGGAGGGTTGGGCAAAGCAAAGGCTGGGAAGTGAGCAAGAGGCCCCCAGAAATATGGGGAGGAGAGAGCAGCAGGAAGCCCCTGTATTCCGTGGATGGATGGGTGCATGGATGAGGGAGGGCTTTGCAGCACCCATGTGACCCGGCTCCTCTGCCCCCTGGGAAAGATGGCCTTGGTAGCGGGTGGACTGAGGGTGACCACTGCTGAAAGGCCTGGCTTACAGCTGTGGGTGGGGGATAAACGTAATAGCAAAGGGGGCCTGTGACTGAATGCTTCCTGTCGCAGGGCTCAGGGCATTCCACCTTCTGATGCATTCCATCCTCACTGTGGCCCCACCTCCACCCTCCCCGTGGGCAGGGCTTCTTCTGTCCCCTCCCAGTTTGACAGACTGGGATACTGAGGTACCGAGGGATGAAGCCATGTGTCAGTTTGGGGCAGCCAGTAGCTGATATTTGAACCCTGGCCACTGCCACCTGGAGCCAGAGCCTGTGCTCTTGAGATAGCTCGGGCCCATAGCTGCACTTGGTGGTACCAGGATTTGACCTTGTGTCTCTGGGAACCTGAAGCCCAAAAAGTAACAGGCCTGTCACCATACGAATGAACGAACACACGCTCCCAGGTCTGGGCCTCAGTTTCCCTAGTTGAGCAATGGCAATGACACTCTCAGAATAGCCCTGAGAGTGTACCGGTCAGGTTCTGGCTCTCCAGAAATGGGGGCCGTCAGTCAGCTCAGCCTGAGTTAGGGATACCCTACTCTCTCAGAGGGGACAGGGTCCTGCCTCCCTTTCTGGGCCCCAGAATCGGAACATCGCCACCACCACCAAGGGTGACAAAGAGACCTGAGCCCCACCCCCAAAGTCTTCCCCTGGTGTCTCCATCTAGGACCCCCCGGATGACATGAAGCAGGACCAGGACATCCAGGTGAGTGGGCACTAGGGGGCGGGCCAGGGGGTAACGGAAAGGGGCACCTGTCCGGGGAGGGGGTAGAGAGGCTGTGACGCCCCTCTCATCCCCGCCCACTCCGCCTTCACAGACAGTAGCGACTTCGCTCATGCCGTTGACACAAGCCAACCTGGCCATGTTCCAACGTGCCCAGGCCAACCTGATCCCCTCTGAGGAGCGCCAGTTTGCATGCTCCCCCTGCGACCATGTCTGGTGGCGCCGGGTGCCCCAGCGGAAGCAGGTGATAACCTAACTCCTGAGCCCCATCCTCGTGGCTGGACTGCGAACCAAGGATCATCAACTTTGGGGAGCCCAGCCCCTGATTCCTCCGAGCTCAGTCTTGGGGGCCCTGGCCCCCAGGAGAGCAGAGTGCCCACCACTCATGCTGAGCTGGCTAAGCTGACCGCTGACCCCACTCCTTGACCACTACCATGGAAATCAAACCTGCCCCCCACACCACCACCTGTGGCGTCCTTGCCCCGGTATACTCAACAACGGGGTTGGGGGGGTTGGGGGGGGTCCTGATCCGATAGGTGGCATTTGCCAATTCCTGTGCTGTAAATACTCCCACTGGGGCCAATATCGAGCTATGATGATGTTGTTACCGATGGTGGAGAGGGAGAAAGAAGAAATGCCCAGCGTGGTCACAAGATGATCTAGTTCAACGCTGACCTCAACCCCAGAGCCCTTCGCCTGGCCCCAGTAAGCCCCCTCCCTTCTGCCCGCCCCCCACCCCCAGGTGTCCCGATGCCGGAAATGCCGGAAGCGCTACGAGCCCGTGCCGTTAGACAAGATGTGGGGCGTGGCTGAGTTCCACTGCTCGAAATGTGGGCATGATTTCCGGTGAGGACGCTGACCCCTAGCCCACCCTCTACCCTAGCCCTGCCCCTGCCCTGCCCTGAGCATCCCTTCTTGACTGGGACCCTCACACCCTGCCCACCCCCAGGGGCTGGGCACAGATGGGGTGCCAGTCCCCCTGCTATCGGTGCGGCTACCCGGTGTTTCCGACACTGATCCTGCCCCCACGCCGGAACTGGGACGCACGCCGCAGCACCCAACCCCACTCCTGCTTGGCGGCCGACTGCTGTAACCGAAGAGGTGAGGCCCCAGCCCCGCTCCCTGGCCTCCCTAGAAGAACCGAGGTCAGCCTGGTGTCAGCCCCTCCTCTGTGTCATCCATGGTCCCCGCCCCTGTGACGCCAGGTGACCCAGGGTCTCTGCCCCTCCTGGAGCCTCCTCCGTGGCACCCACCCCTTCTACACACTTCTTGTGGGCTGGTCTGTGCAACTCTATGGTTTTTCTATGGTCACATCCCAGTGACCCTGTGGCCTCTGCCCGGTGATCGCCATGTGCTTGGCTTCTGTTCTGCTGCCTCCCAGTCTCAGGTGACGCCCCGCCCCACCCGGTCCGCGTCTCTTAGGGCTTCAGCCCACCGCTCCACTTCCACGTCCCCGTGGGTCTTCCACGTGCACATCTCTTGGTCTCTGGCAGCCACAGGCTCTCCCGTCCCCAGAACCCCATGTGGCTGCCCCAGAGCTTCACACGGCCTCGTGACCGCAGCCCCTGTCCCTCCCCAGAGCCCCACCTGCCTGGGACCTCCTGTGCACACCCCAAGAGCCGGAAGCAGAACCACCTGCCCCAAGTCCTCCACCCCAGCAACCCCCACATCAGCAGTGGCTCCACCGTGGCCACCTGCCTGAGCCAGGGGGACCTCCTGGAAGAGCTGGATGACCTGATCCTTGAGGACCTGGAGGAGGAGGAGGAGGAGAGTGGGCATGGAGCGTGACATCCCTCCCACCCACCCCCCAGGTGTCAATGCAAACCCGATGCAAACCAGACACGGTCTGTGGCTACTTCTGTGTTGTTACAAAAGGCAAGCACCCACCAGGAGAGCCGCGCCCTTGGGGAGCCAAAGGGGATGGTGGGGTCTCATTGGCAGGACCTTGGGGAGCGGATCCGGAAGGGAGGGTCTTTGGGACAGGGCCAACTCTCTGCCACAGAGGCAGTGTGGCCAGGGCCAGTTGGTGAAGAAGACCGTGGGGGACTGACGGGTCAGAGCCTCAGGGGCCGGATCAGCATGGCAGCCTTCTTGAGAGAATACGCCCCACCTCGGAACTCAGCCCAGTAGACGCCGTCCTGATAGCGGTTGCGGTAGTGGCCGCCACGGTGCCACACGCCGTTGAGGTTGGAGTGGGCGCAGGCGTGGTACCACCAGCCTCCCCGTTGGTACAGTGCACAGTTACCTAAGGGGCAGAGAGTCCGTGTCCTCTCACCAATAGAAAAGCCTCTGCCTCCTGACCCTGCCCACTCTTAACTGCATAAAAACCCAGCCCTCCATCTCCTCATCAGAATAGAAGCCCTGGCCCTGCCTGCCCCACTTTCTTCAGGAGAATAGCCTTAATTCTGTCCGCTGAACACAGTACAAAAGTCTACCTTTCCCAACCTCCTGTAAGGCAGATTCTTTCTCTTGTTATATCAAGTGTGTATGTGCCCATAGCTGCACTTGGTGGTACCAGGATTTGAC